ACAAGTTATAACAAATTCTAGTAAAATATGTACAATGAAGGTGGCCTAATATTTTTGACGACATTGCAGTAATATGTAGCCTGAACAAAAGGAGAAGAAAAACATTGTACCTTTTTTTGCTGCATCTCTTATTTTATTGCCAATCTGGCATGGATAGAATTTACCTTAGTAAATCAACATATATTGACTATTTGACTATTACATGCAAAATATTTTGCTATGAGAGCTCCTAGGAGGCTCAGCAGGTCGGCGTCTAACTCTTGATTTCAGCTCAGGTCGTGATCTCACAGTCCTGAGATTGAGCTCTGAGTTCCTGCTCCACACTGTATGTGAAGCCTGCTTAAGAGTCTCTCTCTTCCTCTCACTCTGATCTTTCCCATCTTCTCTCTTTTTCTCTAAAAAACTTTTTTTTGCTATGCATTTTTGACAATACTAAGATATATAAGTTGAATACTTTGTTTCTGAGGGGTTTATATGGTATTTATAAAAGCATCAAAACATTAAGAATCCAAAGACATGTAAGTCTACTTTCCTCAATTTAAGGAAAATGTTATACTAGAGTTCTTCCATTTTATACACATTTCTTCATTGCAGAATTAGGTTTGTCCTCTGTGAGCTAGAGGTTATGAAAAGTCCTTGAATCTTGTAATTATATGAATTTATACCACTAACTGCATTGAGAATGTAATAGGATATGCCTTATCAATTGTTAAAGAAAATATAAAGCATTTTTATTGCTGAATAAAACAGTGATGTATTGCATACAATTTTCAAATGGTAGTTCACTTCCTTTCTGGGATCAGCAGTTTACATTTATTTGACAGACATGAAAAATTATCCTTAGGTATTAATTTCATAACTTTAATTGGGGATGAAGAGCTTTACACATGGAATCTGGGAAAAGTAGTGTTTACTTTCCTAAAAGTTTACTTTATGGCCCCTTATCAAACAGCCTGCAATACATTATCATTTTTATATAAAAACCAGAATGACTAATGCTATATTCAAATTGCTTGTCTCACCTTTTATTTAAAAAGATTTTTAAAATTAATTTCTATACCCAAGTGGGGCCCAAACTCACAACCATGAGATCAAGAGTTGCACACTCCACAGACTGAGCCAGCCAGGTGCCCTGCTTGTTTCACTATTGTTTAAGAAAAGAATAAGAATTCACATAAGTGAGAAACACTCTCTAACAAGGTGGGTTTAAGTGTAATGTTCCATGTAATCCTATAGATTACATAGATCCCTATTCACTTTTGGAGCAATTTACAAGATGAAATTCAACGTGAGGCAATTTGTATTTTTAGAACAGTGTCTTTCTTTTTATAAATCATTTTGCAACAAGATTTAAGACATATTTAGCCATGGGAAGAGAAGATAAGCTTCAGTAATGAATTTATGCCTCCCCTATGATGCTATCTACCAAGAATGATGTTAAATCCCACTTGAGATCCTTTATTATTTGACTTAGAGAAAATTATACGTATAGGCACTAAGGCAAACAGAAGGCAGTTCATTGATAAGATCTACATCATGTGAAGATAAAATCATAATCCTCAGAGTATATATCATTCTGGATATATGAGTTATCTATACAGCTGAGCTATAACCTTTTAAATACTGTCTGAAAATTATTAGTTATGTTTTTAAATATTTATTTATTTATTTATTTTGAGTGAGAGAGAGAGAGAGAGAGCGAGCGAGCAAGTGTGGGAGGGGCAGGGAGAGAGGGAGAGAGAATCCCAAGCAGGCTCCACACTGTCAGTGCAGAGCCCAATGCAGGGCTCAATCTGACAAACCGTGAGATTATGACCTAAACAGAAATCAGGAGTCAGATGCTCAACTGACTGAACCACCCATGTGTCCCCAAATTTTAATTATTTTTAATAGACACATTTCTTAAATCTGCTCTGCACTTCACTGTCATGTTAAGTAGATGTTTAATGAAACTTTCTTGACACCTTATTCATTATTATATAATATTTCTTACCTAATGTAGCAAAATATGACTTTAAGACATGGATGTATAATGAGAAGACTCTATAATTCTGACTAAGACAGGGGTCCTGAATTTTTTCTGTCAGTTTGTTTTTTAATTATCTGTTGCCTCATATAGAAGCTGCCTTGTGAAATATTAAGAGGTATCTCATGGATTGATATTATCTTGTTCTATGTGGCTTTCTTATTGTTCAGAAAATTGAAATCCTTATTGTGTTAGTTAACATCACTCAAATTTTTGTCTTTGACTGGACTTCACTGGCCTCAAACTACATTCCAAATTTTATATCCTTTCTTCTATGCTAAGTCTCTTACTTTCAAAAAAGCATGGAGGAAACACTCCTCATTTTTTCAAGAATTAGTTTAAAAAATTTGGAGAAGTATCTTATTATAAGTTTTACACACACACACACACACACACACATGAGATAATTCTGCAGATAAGCCTCCAAGATTTTCTTAGTGCTTGACATTTCTTAGAATTCTAGGTATAAGTAATAGGAATCCTACATAAACAAATTTATGTTCAGTAGTTATGAGTGCGAGATTGCAAATAGAAGCTTTTGCTATCTTGAGTTTTATAGGTAAGACCCAGCTTTTAACATATCTATTTACTATAAAAGTAAATTATAGTTTTAAAGTTTATAGTTTAGAGTCTATATAGTTTAAATAGTATATATATAATTTCCAAGTAGTCTCTATTAAATATGATGTATAATTCTTTATATAGATAAAATTTGATTTATAAGGGTTTAGTATTAATCCCATGAAAACTGTTTCATGCATTTCCTCCAAATTTAGGGATAACCATGGTAAGGTCTGATTTAAAATAATGAAAAATAAGGCACATAAAATACACTTTCAGCAACCATGGAAATAAAGAGGTAGATAATAATTTTGCAGAGCTGCTAAAAATGAGACAAAGTGCTAGTTTTTAAATAGCTGCTGATTGGAAGAAATATACTATTTAGTATTAATTGATATACCAGAAAGCAAGAGAACAAATAGTATCTTTAAAATCAGATACACAGTTAGAAGTCACAAGGGAAGGTCATTCATATCATAGATCCTGTTTGCAGTGTAGCTGCTTGTCACATGGAGAACTGTAGGCAGCACAGTCTAGTGTGAGTTAGAGCAGGGATTTATCTATGTTACCATGGTTAATGATAACAGTGTAACAGTAACAGCAGCCATCTTAAGAGTATGCACATGATGGGTTGTCTGCTCATGAAATTTCTTTTTTTTTTTAAATTTTTTTAATGTTTTATTTATTTCTAGGAGAGAGAGAGAGAGCGAGAGAGAGAGAGACAGCGTGAGCAGGGGAGGGTCAGAGAGAGAGGGAGTCACAGACTCTGAAATAGGCTCCAGGCTCTGAGCTGGCAGTCAGCACAGAGCCCGTCGCGGGGCTTGAACTCACGAACCGCGAGATCATGACCTAAGCAAAAGTCAGACGCTTAACCAACTAAGCCACCCAGGCGCCCCTCATGAAATTTCTTTTGTAGTAACACTCAATATCCTGAACATTAACATATTAAGCAAAGGTTAAATTGGATACTAACACTAAAGAACAAGAGACAATTTAAAAATATTTCTAAACAAAAAGCTGCTACCTTAAAATGACCTCTATAATTATCAAATAAGAAAACTCGAAGAAAACTAATATTAAGTGATAGTGATGGTTCAAGTGAAAGAGGTGAAAACTAACTAACGAAGACAAATAAGAGGGTTATTAGATTAAAATTATTGGAAGGAATCAGTTGGTGGAGGAAATTTTTTCAAACTAGTTCCATTCTTCCAAATAGTTCTGGTTTAGAAAGTTTTTAAACAACTTTAGGATTACAGACATAAGAATTGTTCTATTGAATAATTAATACATTACTTAAGAGTTGTGATTGGTGAACGCTGCCGGTTTCTGAATACTCATCTTTGTATTTTTCTTTTAAGGACAGATTTTCATAGTATGTAATATATTACAGGGAAGAAATAATTAAGAGGAAGATAATAAAATCATTCCATAAAGTATATCTGAAAATAATACAGGTGAGGTTGTTACAAAAGATGTAATAGTATACTCCACAAACACTCTGGGTTTTCTGAATCAATAAGATCTGCTTTGACCAGAACTATATTTTACATGGTTCACATGACATATGAAAAGGTAACTACTGAAAAAAAATACTATAGGGATGACAAGACTTTGGGAATTATGTAGTTAGAGTTTAATTTCACCACTACACACGTAGAGGGAAATGCAGGTTCCAGGGCTTTACCCCAGAGTACATCCAGACTATAGTTGCTGGGGAGTTGTTAGATACTGGGACGTTGTGGTGTTCTATCAACTCATTTGGCAATTGTGAAGCAGTAGCTATGTTTGAAAACTACTGACCTAACACACCAACTATTTTTACAGCTATAGAACAAAGATTAAGTACTTTAGTTAGCGTTACATAGCTAGACATGAGCTCAGAGTTTCCATCTACCATCAGTTCTGTGCTATTTTCTCTATTCAATTCATCCAGTCCAATGGAAGAGCAAGTATTCATTGACCTTTGTTTTTCTGTTTTATTGTTGTAATCTTAAAAGATTGATCTTAAGTACACTAATGGAGACAGTTTAGATAAAGTTTTCTTAAACCAGAATGCACTGAAAGGTTTCAAGGGTACTTGAATCCTTTGAAATTATGCTAAATTTTATGTTATTTTTATCAAAGATGTTTCCATAGCTTTTATCAAAGTTCCAAAGGAGCTTATGCTACCTTCCCTCCCAAAATAAAGATCATTGATGCAAATTCTTATCTCTGATTTGTTTTTCAAGACCATATTAGAAGCAGACCATTAACCCCAAAATCTTGGGACTTGATATTTAAACTTACCCATTTTCCCCAAATATGTATGCTATTGAAGAGAATTAAATGAATTGCCACAATTTAGTCAAATTTCCTTGCTCTCCTATCCATACACAAAATTCACACAAAGTAAAACATACACAAAGTAAGTATATTTTTTGTGACTTTTATTATCCACTTTTATAATTTCAGAGAAATGATGAGTAAGAAAGGAAGACAGGTGGATAACACACACATAATAACAACATGTACTTATTTTCAGCACACCTAGTATCTGGAAAATAATTACATTCTCTGGTTAGAGAATGAGATTCTAAAGTTAAAAAGAAAGGGTTTCCAGATGTTTTTATTCAGCATTGTATTTTATATGGAAGCACTAGTAATATATATTTAGAAAGAATATAGTGAATGGAAATGCAGTTGTAATAGGAAAATTTTGAGAAAAAAATAGAGAATTAAATGTCTTGCAAGAACAGATTTTTCTATCTCTTGAGGTTAGAAGAGCAATTATATTCCTTTGAGTAGCTGATGGAGGGCATCATCAAAATGGAATTACTTCTTTGTGAGACAACTGTCAGCTTACCTTTATATTAATGGATAATACCTTTAGAATATATCTGTGGGGAAAGAAAAGCTGTTTCAGTAAGTGGTGTCTCTATTGTACTTCTTGACCTAAGCCAAAATATTCTTTCAGATTGCTCCTCTAGTTCATTACCTCAAATAAAAATGATAAAAAATTCCACAAAATACTTTTTTTTTCCTAACCAGATTGCCTAAGTATCATTGCTATCCAGTAGTTCATATTACATGATAATCCTAGCTTTTATATTGTCCTAATGATTCTGCAGGAGACCTAAAGTAGTTAGAGTATATATTAAATATATATTATACCTGTAGTTGTTTCAAGATTATGTTATAATAATAGTGAATTTAACCCAAGAGAACAGGCAAGAAATGGCAACCAAATAAGCTGTTCAAACTTTCAAAATATAATTTAATATACTAATTTTTTCAGTGATTAATATTCTTGGTATTATGATTTTTTTTACAATTAAATGATTACAAAATGTACTTGTAACACATAAGAGACTATACCAGGTTTCATCTCAGAAGAAATATCAACTCTTTCACAAAGTCTTATGTACATAAGCCTACACATAACAAAAGTATTTCATGTTCATCTCCATGATGACCAGGAACAGTGAAGAGAATGTGGCTTAGTTGACCTAGGATAAACCCGTGAAGTTCAGAACTTAGTTCTGGTAACATCACTCTTGTTATTTAACATTCAGATGGCAATTTTTCCCCATTTTCAATCATCCAACACCCTTCTGTTATCTAGGTTGTTCCCCTTCACCTAAACATGACTGCAGCTGATAGCAGCTCTTGGAATATGGTGGCTCCTTCATTTCTCTTTAGTGTTAGTGTAGTAGTTCAGCCAAGCATTAAGTTTCTCTATAATTGTGAAAAAAAAATTGTTTTTCCTGAAAGTCAATTAAAGGAGGGAGTCTCCAAATGACACTATACTGATTGAAATGCAGAATAATTCTGAATGGAAATATAATGTCATGTTTTGAGGTTCTCTGGTGGGAATGATAGGTGTATATAAACAGAAAAGATAGACTCAGTCTTTTTGTTTCTCTGTGATGGTAATGTTGAACAAGGAGCTAGTCTGGTTTTATCTTCTGAAAGTTTATCTCACAACGGGTTTAGGATGTGGGTGGGCATAGGTAGTTTATAATGTGACAATAATAATTTTCAAAGAAATAGATTTGCAAGTAAGCTTAGTAAGGAAATATATTTCCTTAAAAAAGAATATGTGCTTTTTAAGAGGATGTTGAATAAATACGTCAAGATATATCATGCCTAAGATACTTTTTTAGTTATAAATGTTCATAAAAGATATAGGATTTTTGGAATTGTTCTAGAGGTAAAAGGGAAAGAGGGAAAACTATAGTAAAGGGAGAATTTTCAGATACAACAGAATAACTCATTACAGACCAAGTCTCTGAGAAAAATTAGAGTTTCTATTTATATAAGAGAATGGAGAGCTACACAGACAACCTCAGGTCTTGTAAGGCCCAGGAACCTGGTGAGATGGGTGAGGAAAGAAGAGCACTGACGTGAGACTTGCATCCCCTTGGAAGCCTCCTTTAGTTTTTAGGCAGCACAGAAGGCAACCACAAACTAAAGTAGAAATCTAAACAGATTTTGTCTTTCTCAGATTCTATAGAAACTTGAGGTGGGGGAACAAAAACCTAAGGACATTAGAAATAATCTTTTAAAATGCATAAAGAAAATTTGAAAAAGCATCCGGATAAATAAAAGGCACATTATTTTCAAAGGAAAAACATTTCATCAGAAACCATGGAAGGCATTTTACAATGCAATGACATTTTTAAAGTGCTAAAAGAATATATGTGTGAACCTCTAATTCTTTATTCAGTAAAAATATTCTTCAAAAATAAGGATGAAAAAAAATGTTTCCAAACAAACAAAAAAGGAGATAACTCATCAACAGTAAACTTGCATGAATATACATATGAAAGGAAATTCATTAGAAAGAAGAATAAGAACCCCAAAGAGGAGCACAGAAATGCCAGAAAGAAGAAAAAACAATGGAACAGATAAATGTATGGGTAAATCTAACTAAATATGATCTGAAAAATGACAACAACAACCTCTTATGGGCTCAAAAAACTGGATATAAAATTGAAAATTATGGCACAAAAGTCAAGGCAATAGTTTCAAATGACATGAAACAGCTTTCATAGCTTTGCATTTTAAAGAATTACTACATATTAATAACTGATGGTGACCATGAGTAGTTAATGGCTATTGCTCCATCATAACAAAATGTATAATAGAATTGACGGTATAACATGTGCAATGAATTGAAAATAAAACATTGTAGACATTGTTTTCCAATATAATTTACTGATGAAATCACTACTTCAAAATATGGATATCCTAGACTAGACTTGTCCAATAGAAATATAATATGAGCCTATGACCACATTAAAATGTAAAAATAAAAATATGAAAATAATCATAATAATGTATTTTATTTAGCCCAGTATATCTGAAATATTATCACTTCAAATGTATTACATTTAAAAAATATTATTAATCAGATATATTATACCTCCTTTTTTTTTTGTCAAACTAAGTCTTCAAAATCCAGTGTGCATTTTAGACTTACAGCATATATCAATTTGAAACAGTCACACTGTAAATGCTCAATAGTCACATTTGACTAGTGGCTTCCATAATGCATGGCAGACATCTAGGCTGCAAGAATAGACTCTGATGGCATCTAGTTAATTTAGTCTACTGCTCCAATAAGTAGTCCAACAATATATCAGATATTAAACTCTATATTTTATTATTTTAATAAGTACATTTTTTGTTTAGAATTCCCTAGAAATTAATATAATCTCCATAGGTTCCTGAGATACAATACCATTTTGTGGTTTGGGTACTGAAATAAAAAGCAATCTTTGTCTGGAATATAGTAACATCAAATTATTCAAGCACAGGCCTACTTTATAACACACACACACACACACACACACACAACACACACATGCACATGCAAACAGTACAAAGTCTAAACCACTATTGGTCATTATCATACCAATTCATATCTATTGACTGTTTACATAGGAATATTCTTAGTCCAAGCTTGCTTGTTCTACAATTTGTTTGAAAAAGCCTAAATGTTTCACTGAGATGTGACCTCACAATAAGTGAGTAGGGCATGACATTATTTTTTAGATTTCTTTGTTTGAAAAGATAGGTTAGACATTTCACTCAGCAAGATGGCGGAGAAGTAGGGAGCGCTGTGCATTTCACTCGCCCCCATCTCTCAAACAGAGAAGGCCTGAAGCCATAGAACACTGAGCTGGAAGAGTCTGGGAAGAGAAAGAGACAGAGTACACTGGGAAGGCAACCTCATAAGTGCATGAGTGCGAACTGGGGAACATAAAAACAGGCCAGGACTGGAGACATGGAGGGAGCTGAGGAAGACCCCCTCACGGGGAGCCGCGGTAAGTTGAGGGGAAAAGAAAGAGTGGCTGAAATTGCTCACAGAATTGTCCCTGGAGAAGAGAAAAACTTCAGCTTGGACGGAGACTGTTTTCACTTCTAGCTAGGGTACTGACTTTGAATTGAGTGTCCTCTGTCCCAGGCGGCACCAGGAGAAACTGCTCCCCTGCCCTTCCGGCTCAACCACCGGTGGTGGGGAAGCAGCCGACCTATGGTACTGTGTTTCTGGTGGTATCAATAAAGCACTTGGACTGGGACCTGGAAAGGAGAGAGGGTTTGGGACATAGAACACGGCCCAACTTGGCTGCACCCATGGCACAGGGAGGTCAGACCCAAGGAAGCGATTTGTGGTGCTTGGTTCCAGAGGGGACTGGGATGCTGCCATTTTGCTCCTCACAACTACCAAGGTAGGACCTCAGGGAGCGACCGGTGGGAATGCAGTGGAGGCTAAGACTTGCCTACACCAAACCACACCCATCCCCGCTAGAGAGTTGGGTTTTTTTGGTTTTTTGTTTTTTTTTATTTACCGAAGCCAGAGGCAAGACCAACATGGATGCACTGTCACGATTAATTCAGGATCAATTCTTTCTATTCAGATATATTTTCCCCTTGTCTCACTTGTATCTCTCCCCTCTGCTGGACTGGGCACTCTGGTCATTAGTTTGCTTAAACAGTCACATTTAATCCATTCTCTAGATGTATATTCTACACCTCCACCGCTACCTTTCTATCTCTCTCTCTCTGGAGTAATCAGACTGTACAGTTTCTCTGAGTAACACTATCCTTGTTTCTTTCTCCTCGCCTCCTACCATATTCTCCTCTTTCTCTCTCTGAATTAAGCCTCTTAGTCTCTCTGCCTAGTCACTGCCCAATTTTGCCTTCTCCTGGCCCTGACATTTCTCTCTGTGTATATGCTCTTTCCATCAGCACTGCATACACCCTGCTCTCTATTTGTAGCTGGGAATTCTGGTTTTATACTTTTAGACTGTCCCTTGTCTTTTGGGGTTTTTTTTTTCTTCTTTCTCTTATTTTCTTTTACTTTTTCCCTTTCTATTTGCTCGTTTGTTAGATTTGTCTGTGCATTTGTGTGTCTTTGTTCCCTGTGTGTTTGTCTGTCTGTTTTCTCTTCCAGGGCTACCTCAAGAAACAAGCCAAAGTACACATGGTGGAGAGTCCCAAATACCATTAGAAGTAGGGAAATAAAATAATCAAACAACAAGAGACAACAAGAGACAAAATTAAAAGAACACTTCACTTCCTGAACGGACAGGCCCTACACAGTCAATGAGCCTTCTTTAATACAGCAGTACTCTCAGGTGCAGAGTGCATAACAAGCTTTTAAAACTAACAAGAGACAGAAAGCTAGCCAAAATGACGAGATGCAAGAAATCTCCTCTAAAAAATTCCAGGAAGAAATGACATCTAAGGAACTGCTCAAAACAGATATAAGTAACATAACTGAACAAGAATTTAGAACAATAGTCATAAAATTAATTGCTGGGCTTGAAAAAGGCACGGAAGACATCAGAGAAGCTATTGCTACAAAGACTGGAGCTTAAAAACAGTTGTG